ATAACCCACGTGAGATCCCCATACGTCCAGATTTGCTTGGAGCTGCTTTTAGAAGCCGCTGTTATAAGACTAGATAGTCGCAAAAGGCCTATGCTCACCGAGGTAGCCACTGAATGCTTTCTGACCCCACGAACAATTCATAGGGTTACATATGGGAGCGAAGGCTGAGATGCTCTTGAAAAGACTCGGATTTCTCAATCCTATAGATATAGCACCATGACCTCCCATCGAGTGACCAAATATACCTGAAATAAGCCCAATAATTCCCCGCAGTGGAAATTCCTGTTAAAAAGTTTTTTACCTAGTCTATCCAAATCAATTGGGAGACACGTCTTTATCAAATCCGGTAGCTCTTTCGTGATATAACTATACATTTTATAATATTTCGACCACGGCTCCGTGGTAGCATCTATGTAAAAGCCGGCCCCTAGAATAACCACATAAGACAGTTTACTTGAATAACCTTACACATACCTTCTCCAAACGACCATGACTCAGATGAAGGAACATCGACACCCCTTGGGGAGGTGTCTGGATGTACTACGATCATACCTGAATGAGTTTCGAATAGAATATTGTAATGGCAGCAGCAGATAAAACCAGAAACATACCGTGTTCGCTAGCATACCTTTGAAATCCAGACTTTTCCATGAAGTTTGCATGTGTACATGTCAAACCTCAACACATAGTACTATAAGCGTAAGGAACATACTTTCACTTTTTTTATTTCTCATGCACGTTCCGACAGAAAAGAGAGACAAACCTATACAAAATCTGCCCCAAATTTTGATTTTACTAGGGAAAGGCAAGAAAAACAATCAAAATAGATACAATTTCTCGAGATAGAAAGGTTTCTTTTGGGCTGTGACCAACCTCCGAAAAAAGAGTGAGTGCTCAAGGTGTCCCAGAATGAATGATGGGAAAATTCTGAACGGTTACCGAGCACATACCGAAGTTGCGCGCATTAGCTATGTGCATTAATGTATCTACTGAAAAAATTGTCATTCTCTTCACAAACATATTGTCTGTTTCG